CTCCTCTCTCTCTCTCTCTCTCTCTCTCTCTCTTATCATTTGCAGGAAAACATGTCGGAAGATGAAATAGACGTTGCAATTCACACTGATTCAAGGCATGCCGATAGGCTAAGGTCCATCTATGCCAGCAAAGAATCAATAGAAGAAGGTGTCGTGCCCTTCAAAAGGATAGATTTTCTTGGGAGCCGAAGGAGCTTTGAATTGCTCAAACGTGTTAGTGGAGAAACTGGAAACCATGTATATGAATTGCAGATAGGAGCATGAACGTTTCAGAAAACACGACCAAAATAAAAAAGACGCGAACCTCATGGAGCTAGACTATATTCTTAGTCAAATGGGCAAGATTACCATCTTATGAAATGATGAATGGTGATTCACAAGAAAGGGATATGACTTCAGTGGTGGGTCCTGTGCTCTTCCTGTATCGCCATCTATTAGGGAGGTCCAAGTGGTGGGTCCATGTCTCTCTTTACCATCGTCCATTACGTTGAACAGTGATGACGAAAGTGACTATGGCTTGCTGTAGTCCCATGGGTTATAATATATTTACTCCTATCCAGATTATTGTTAACTGTATCATTAATTACGTAGTGGAGCTCACAAGAAAAGAAAAATAATTATTTGGAGTTTGAGATCTCTGCTAGAGAAACCTAAGAGATTTAACAGTTCTATGTAATTATTGTGACTTTTACCCATCAAGAAAACATAAAGGGAGAAAGGGAGCTGAATTTGGTGTGAGATAACTTGATATTGTAATATGCAAAAATAGTGTCTAGATTGTGTATTTTATTTATGGGAAAAGCTTACATAGAGCCGAGGCTCTAAACAATCAAATTAGAGTCTATCTCAAAAATTTCACTAGAAGACGTTGTTTTGATTCCCAAATATCCTCAAATTGATCATCTCGACATCACGATGCATGGACATGAGAAAAAAAATGGATTTCAATTTTTGGAAATAGTGTATTTTGTAACGCATTTTTTGACCGTCAATTCCAAGAATTTCAAGTTTTCATAGATCTGTCGATCTACACTACTTTTGAAGTTTTAAAATTTATAAATAAAGATGAAAATATATTTCAAGGCTTGCACAAAGATTTCCAATATTAAAACCACATTTCTCGACACTATTTGAAGGTAGGCTCTAATTTGATTGTTTAGAGCCTAGGCTCTATACAAACCGCACCTTTATCTATTGGTTGTTTTACAGCTTGTGAGTCACAATGGATTAAATATAACTTTATCTGCTTCTCATTGAATGTAGCCATTGATATAGTTAAGCCACAATGATTGAGTTCAGATACATCTTACTTCTATTTATCAAAAAAGAATGGCCTGAGTTGTCATGCAACATAGTTCAACAGCTACACCCATTTATAACAAATTGCTTCAGAGGTAAAGCATTGTTTCAGTGAAATGTAACAAATACAGTGATTTTTTATCAGATATTCCTTCAGTTGCAGGGTGACTCCTGACCATTTTAACATCCTTGGTATTTTTTCAAAATGTAGAGGTACCACGGATGTCATTATCTGGGGTTCCTTGCAATCCCTTTGCTCACTGTTCACATATGGATGCCCTGCTAATTCTATTACTCAGACTGAAAACTGGGATTCAAGAGAATGAGCTTTCTAACTAAGAACCGTTGATTCTTGGAAGCTATATACAGGGGAGTGAACTTCACAAGAGTGTACTGCTTGCGGGTAACGTTATGATCCATCTCAATGTATGGTATGTATGCTCAAGCAATACCAATTAAATTCCTCTAATACTAATCCCATTGAACTCGGTCCTTACAAAATGCCCCTGAACTCAAACCCCACCTCACAATGGCATGAAAGAAATCAGTCTCAAAAAATTTCCATGATCTTCATGTTGCAGATTTCGAAGGCGGAGTCAACGTCTCAGCATCACCTATTTTACTATAAAGAGACCATAAGGATGGTCCAGAATCTTTCATATTGATCTTAGAAACTTATAGTGGATGATGTGATCATCGTTCTCCTCTCCACGTCACAAGAAATATGATAGCTGGATCTCTGATGCCACAAATGACGGATGGGCCAATCAGCCCAAGGTCAAAAGCTCAGCATAACTTCAATGCCCAAACCATTTCTTGAGTCTCAGGTACACATCCAATGCTAGTAACTGGTCAGAGCATGATAGAAGGATGTAAATGGAAAACTTACTTAAGACTGTTCCCAGTTCTACTCTTGGGCTAGAAAGATCTTCCCAAGTTTCCAACAACCAATAAAGCAACAAACTTGTAATATTTAGGTTCCCCAAACTTGAGGAACCAAGAATTTGAACTACACACTCCTTCTTAAATTAACAGTTGGAGACTTGCCTTAAATTGAAGGCCAGCCTCGTAAGCCTCCACCAATACCCCGTGTGACAATGTGATCACTACTCTTAATGCTTTTTGCCATGACCAAAGTTTAAATGTTTTTCTGTTTTTTGGAATATGTTGAATGTTGCATTAAGAAAAAGAGTAAACAAAGTACAAGAATTTAGGCAGACCACATACACGGTGCTCTATACAAAACCCTAAAAAGGGGCTAAAATAATGCTCAACATCCAGAATGTAAACAAGAAGTCTCATAGTAACAAAGCAGAAGAGGAGAAAAAGAACTCACATGCCAAGGGAAATAAGAGCCAAATAACCTATCTGTACACTAGACCACTAAAACTTCACTACAATCCCATGCTGAAACCAATCACCCCCAACTGACCTTCCATCCAACTCTACTATTAAATACAAATCCTACAGAGGGCCCGGATGTCCCTTCCAAACTCATCGCATTGTATGTTTCTCCAATATCCTCAAGTGAAACAGCTTAATTTTCTCCCAAAATCTTCAATATCATTTTCCCAAAAACACTTATGTCCCTTATTTAATCTTCCAATCACCAAATTATGTTGCCTCTTCGGTGCACATATTTTCACCCATTTCACTTGTGGAATTTTCCTTTCACACCGCTAGCTTCTAAAGTAACTCACTCTGCATGCTTTCAAACTTCCTGGCAACACTTGTAGGCAACTGATACAAGGGCATGGACTATGTAACAGGTAGTCTAGAGTGGGCTTGAAAAACATAATCTTTCCAGCAAAAGCTGGTAAGCTCTTTTCATTTTGCTATTGGATCCCACAAGCTTTTATTAAGCTTATCGATACAGAGAGCAAGATTCAACAATGATCCCACCCCACAGAGCAACTTGCTAGCCATCTCTTACAACCATCTGTGCCCCATTCTTTTTAGACCATTGTAGCTTGTAAACTAGATGTCCCTTTAGAGTGGCACTCCTACTCCAAGTGCGCCAACAGTCCAAGTGATTTTGATTTGAAATTTTCAACCTTTATGCTCTTGTGCTCCTCTTGAATGAAGCTCCTAAGTCTTGAATCGAGTCCCTTCAAGAGGGACTTGATCTCAGTTATTCTTGGATGTGACCTATCCCCTGCCACAAATTCATGGATCTCGCTCTCAATCTCAATCCAGCTACACCCTGCTTCTTTCCTGATTCCTTGACAATTCATCTTCTTCCTCATAGCCACTGCATCATCCCATCGTCCACGCATAACAAAGATCTTCGACAGCAATACATAAGAGGCTGAGCACTCTGGCTCCAATTCGAAAAGATGTTGAGCTGCTATCTCTCCAAACATGTCATCACCTTGCATTGCACAAGCTCCAAGAAGAGCACCCCAAACTGAAGCCCCTATCTCACCATGTATGGTCGCAACCATCTCCAAAGCCTCGTCTAGCTTTCCTGCTCGACCCAATAGATCAACCATACAACAATAATGCTCATTACCTGGTGTCAAGCCATAGGCCTCTTTCATTAAATGGAACAAACCCCTCCCTACTTCTACCAAGCCAGAATGACTACAAGCAGAGAGAAGTAAAATAAATGTAATATGGTCGGGGGCCACATTTTCTCTCCTCATTTTCGCGAACAAAGTTAAGGCTTTGTTGCCGTGACCATGCTTGCCATATGCTCCAATCATAGTATTCCAGGTCACTATGTTCCTCTCACGCATGCGATTAAATATGATCCAGGCTTTTTCGACACTCCCGCACTTTGCATACACATCAATCATGATAGTTTGAATGACCAAATTGCCTCCGAACCCACCTACAAAGACTTGGGTGTGGAGTTGATCTGCCAAGTGCACTGAACCTAGGTTCACACACGTATTGAGTATACCTACAAATGTGGACTCATTTGGTCTCAAACCCCAATAGCCCATCTCTTTGAACAATCCTATAGCACTTGATTCATGCCTAAGCTTTCCATAAACTGATATCATACAATTAAATGCTACTATGTCTCTTTCTCGCATTGTGTCGAAGGCTCTTTGAGCTTCTCTTAAGAGCTCAAATTTGGCATAAAAATTCACAAGAGAGCTGCCCACATAACAATCTAGACCTTTACCCCTCTTTATGACAAATGCATGGAGCTGCCTCCCCTTTTCCATAGACACAAATCTTATCATATTTGTAACTGTATGGGAGGTGGGTTCAACGCCTTGCAATTGCATCTCCACCATGAGCTCCCAAGCTTCATTCACATAAGCTCTCTCTGCATAACATGCTATCATCACAGTCCATGACACTCTATCTCTCTCCAAAATGTCATCAAAAATTCTTCGAGACTGTGATAACGACCCGCATTTCCCATAGAAAACAACTAATGCACTATTCACAAAAGCATCATAATTTGCAGCCATTTTTATCACATATCCATGAATCTGAAGGCCATAATTTAAATCTTTGATAGCTACACAGGCCATTAAAACAGGCGCTAGAGAGAAGCTATTGGCTTCTATGCCATAGGCCAACATGTTGGAGAATAGGTGAAGCGCCTCGAGCTTGCATCCATGTCGAGCTAGTCCACTGATTAGTATAGAACATACTCTAGAATCCTTATCAGCCAGTTCATCAAACAATTTGTGTGCATAAGATAGGAAACCCATTTTACAATAGAAAAAGAGGAGCTTTTCTAAAAGATTTCTACTTGGAGTCAAGAGAATTTTGATTATTTGAGCATGAGTTGCCTTTCCCTGATTGTACAGGCCTTTTGACGTGCATAGTCGCAGAGAAGAAGCGAGGCCCATAGCATCTGTTACTGAAAGAGGCCATTTCAAAGCTTGGGATTTGTCAGGTGGTGCTTTAATGGGGTATTTCGTGAATAGAGAGAAATTTGGGTGAATTTTAAAATTAGGGTTTTTGGGTTGGTGGTTCTTGGGGTTGCAGGTGTGATTGAACAAAGGTGGTGAAGGTGCACAAAGGTTCATGTCGGCTTGCTGAAAACCATTTTTTCCTTTTAGGCTTTGTGATATTTCATGGTTACCAACATCTAATCTCCACCATTTGTCATTTGGATGGATGCTAGATGTCTTGATTGTGACCCATATACCATACACCACTGTTGTTTAATATACTTTCCCTTTCAGAAATTCATCACAAATAATATAAAAGTACATTAAAAATACTTATAAATTTAATAAACAGAGAAAAACCAATTCTTTGATAGTTTGACTCTCAACCATTTAGGCGCTCGACCTTACAGTAGAGAAAACCCTAGAAAGAAAATGGGGATCTCATCAAAGCCTTCTCTTCTCTTTTCTTCTTGCAGTTTGTTGATGGCTGCCCTGTTTGCTTACTCTGCATCAGTTCAGTTAAATGACCCAGGTAAAATTTGAATTCTAAAACAATAAATAAAAGAAAGGTCCAAACCAGTGAATTTGTAATGGAAATTGCGTTAAAATTCAGATAATTCTCCGAAATTCATAAGAATTTTGTCTTTAATTAATCCCTTTTAGTTTCATTATGCAGATTGGTATTTCTGGTTCTCTCTCTACACGTTTGCAACTTTAGTGAATCTCTTGAAAAGTTGCAGAAGAAGCAGAACCAGTGACATTTTGGCGCCTGTGAGTTTACTGGGTGCAATTATTTTGTTTGTAAAAGTTGTGGTTGAAGCTTTTGCAGATGATTTGTTAGAGGTTTTCTCTTTGGACATGGAGAAAAAGGTAGTGAGAGAAAAGCTGGGAAGTGGGTTCGTGATTGTCTCCATGTTTCTTCATGTGAATGCCTCTTGTAAGCCAGTAAAAAACAAGAGAGAGAAAGTGGGAAGATCCATTGATCTTGGTAAGCTTTCTTATGTTTCCTTTTTTGAAAAGTTTGAACTTTTCATCTAAACAAGATTGAGAGAGTAAGAAAATGTATTTGTACACCTCTTGGGGAAATTATCGCTATGTTAACACCGCTTGGCATAATTAAGGTGCTAATTTCATTATTTAAATGTTGGGGAAATTATTGATGCCCCTAATCTGTACTTTCTTGGTATGTTCCCTCGAACATTGATATAAGACACTATTAACCGTAACATTATTTTTTATGCAACTACCTCTCAATTAAAAAAATACTTTTCTAAGCCAAAATACTCTCATTTGACCCATGTTTCTAAAATATAACACCCAACATGCGTCATTCCAGTATAGAAATACGTGACCAATCCAACTCAAAATGTGTGGAATGGACGTTTGACAAAAAGTGTTAGTTCGACACAGTTTGTGTTGGGCTACCTTTTTACATTACAAATATTGTCGGTCCAATACAAAATATGTTGGACCGGCTTATATTTAAATTTTACCGGCCTAACATATGGTACAACACAAAATGAGCTGTACCGCATATGTTGCGCCAATTCAACAAATTATTCTCATTGGCTTAGGGAGAGTGGGAAGCATATGACCTAAAAAAATAGTATTTTTGTCTAAACCAAGTCAATTTAAAGATGGTATTTTTGTCTAAACCAAGTCAATTTTTTTACTTAGCGGGGGTTAAAAAAAAGAAAAAGGTGTCAGGATTTATAGTGTACTACAAATCGGGGGTGTTTATATTTTTTTTCCTAAATATTAGGGTGATTATTTTAACCTTTATTTCAATACCTACCAAAAAAAATTCAAAATTAATCTACTCAAGATTGAGAACCCCAGGAAAAAAAAATGGTATGTTGATCATCTGACCCTGGCCTATACCTCTTATTACGGTTTTCCAGGAATATGTATTTTCTTACTTAAATCTTTTTAAAAGAGAAATTTACAGAAATATCTCTTTAAATTAATGTTAATAAAAAAATCTCCCTGAGAACTTGAGTACTAGGTTGATTCCTTTTTTCTTCTTCTTCTTCTTTTTTTCCTCCCTATTTGCCGTTACTTTAGATTTTTAAAATCTTAAAGTCTTTCTAGGTTGTTGGACATAGAGAAAATTTCATATTTTTACAATCCGAAGTTTTGAGAACTTTGGATTTTCAAACTTAGAGGCTTGCTAGATGCATAGAAAACTTAAGATTTTTACAATATGAAGTTTAGAAAACTTAGGATGTTTAAGATCCTAAATATTTTTAACCCTTATAAGCACCCGAGAAGAGGTCCAACTATTTTATTACAAATGCTAAACATCAGACCTTCAAGTTAGGGCGTTAGGGCAATGTTATAATTTAAAAAAAAAAGCAAAAAAATTGGGTATGAATGTAATAAGGTAAAGAATTAGGGTTTTTTTAATAACAAAATTTTGGGAGGACATATGTATAAATTACTTCTCAGAAATTTATGGAAATATCTCTTTAAACTTTCGTTAATAAAAAATCCCTTGAAAAATTGAATGTCATGTGTATACCCTGTTTTTTTTCTCCCCCAAACTGCTCCCACGCCAAATTTTCAAAATTTCATTTTTTTTTTTTTGACAATGTAAATTGGAAGTTCTTCTTGGCTTGCTGGACGCATAGAAAACTTCATATTTTTCCCAAGTTCTTTCTAGAAGTTTTCTTTGGTCTCCTGCAAGCTTGAGCCCTTCGATGCAGAAAGAACTTCAGATTTTCACAATTCAAAGTTTGGAGAACTTCAGATTTTTAAGATCCGAAGTATAAGGTCTAAGTCTTCTAATACAAATGTTAAATTCGAGACCTTTAAGATCTAAAATAGAGGCAACATGGTTATTTTAAAAAAAAAAAAATACAAAAATTTGGGTATGCATGTATTTTTCAAATGTGGAGCCAATGAAGGATATGTTTGGGTTTACTTTTTCCAAAATGGAAAAAAGAAATGGTATATAAATGGCACGAGAAAACAATGGTTTTACAAACCCTCCCCACGCTTATTTAGGTTTAGGAACACAATTTTCTTTTTTCCTTTGATATTTGCCCATTTGTTCAAGGTTAACAGCATAAAACTTAGTTATTTGTCATTTAGAAATCCTTGTTTCAATTTTTCTATTATAAACCCTTGTTTTGAGTAGGTAAGTAAGAACAATTAGGGTTGTTATCATCATTTCTCTCAAATCAAGTAGTCTGATTAAAATAATAGTTGTGCGCCCCTAGCAGGACTAGCAACAATTACCTCACTTTTTTGTTTTTTTTTTCCTTGTGTATCTTTAATTTATTTTAGTGACCTTGGATAGGTAAAGGTATTTATGTTATTTGGCCCGACCTTTTTAAGTTGGGCCAAATTATGAAAGTATCTGTGCTTCTTCGTGGTTTTTAATTTCGAACGCTGGCAATTTGGTCATTGTTTTGAAGAGTATTTTAGTGATATGAAACTTGAAAAGTAATTGTTATCATACCAAATGTGATGATTTGACGACTTTAATGATTTTTTAAGGTAATTTAGCCATTTTAAAGATACTACGCATTTTTTTTTCCCTTGGATTATCAGGTTTATTAACTAATTTGTGGTTTTATAACTGACTTCTTTTCTTGTTCAAGGCATCTATTCATTCAATTTAACTGCCCAAAAAATCTATTCATTTAATTTACTCTTTACTTGTTTTTGTTCATCAGGGATGCTCTTACTGGTGGTCATAAGCTACGGGCTCTCCTTGGGGTTCTTCTTGTTGGTGAAAGAGATTTGAATTGATCCTTAAAAACGATTAAAATCCTTGTGTTATGGAGTTTTCATATTTTCTAGTCAAGTGAAAAATCCTTTCAAAATTTCATAATGTCTTACCAATTAAGTGATTATGTGTTTGCGTGTGTTAAATTCTCAAGCTTAAGGTTCCAATATCACTGTAAGGATTTTAAAGTAACAATCTTTGAAGTGATATTTAATGATCTCCATTTCTTGATTGGGTTGGTTTTGACGGGTGTTATATTAAAGGCATATATAAATCTGAAACCCGAGCTGGCACATAGAAAATAATAAAAAATAAAGAAATTCATCTGGGTGGCTTCGAATAAAAGTATGCGCTTCCAAGGAGGAAAGTATGGGTATTAAGATGCTAAAAATGATGAATAGTGCGTTGCTAACTAAATGGTGGTGAAGATGTATGAATGAGGATGGACAATTATCAAACTATATTGGAGGAGAAATATGGAAGGGATAAAGAACATAATTTAGTTGCCAAAGGAGTTAGTAGGAAAGGAAATTTGCCTATTTGGAGAGGAACAATAGCTTATAGAGAACTGTTTTTAAGGAATATGCAAATGGAAAAGTTTATATAGAGCGGAGGCTTTAAGCAATCAAATTTGAGCCTACATAAAAAATTTCACTAGAAGAGGTTGTTTTGATTCTCAAATATTTCAAATTGATCATCTCGAGATCAAGATGCATGGACATGAGAAAAAAATGGATTTCAAGTTTTGGAAATAGTGTATTTTGTAATGCAATTTTGGACCGTCAATTTTCAAGATTTTCATCAATCTATCGATCGTCACTATTTTTAAAGCTTTAAATTTTATAAATAAATATAAAGATATATTTTAAGGCTATCACAAAGATTTCCAGTAATGAAACCACATTTCTCGATACTATTTGAAGGTAGGGTCTAATTTGATTGTTTAGAGCCCAGACTCTATACAAACCGCACCCATATGCAAATGGTGGTTGATTATGGAGAGAGAACAATATTTTGGCATGTAGGGGATAGGCCTTTAAGGATACAATTGTCTGATTTCTTTGATAAAGATCAAAGGGTTAAGATGCAGGAGGTGGCAATGGGTAGGGGCTGGGGTATGCATTGGAAAATAATTTGTAGATATAATAGGTTGACAGATGGAGTTAGTCATCAGTCTGTGAATTGTATTTATTAGTAAGGATAAGGTAATTTGGGACCAAATATGAATGGTGAGTTCTCGGTTAGGTCTGATTACGCATTGTTGTTTAATATATACATAGATGGTGGGAACAATCATCATCTTCAAAGTCTTTTATCAACTATTGGGGTCAGTACACAAATTCTGGTTTGCTATTCTCCTCTATTAAGGGTTATACCTTTAGTGAAGGCTACGTCTCTATATATTTTTTCATTATTGCCAATCATACCCTTTTGAGTCTATCTTTTGCCCTTCTTGAGCCAAGAGTTTGGTCATTTACTATATGTATCTAAAATTCCCACGTTGAGACCTTAAAAGTCCTATATGACAATAAAATTCTCAAATTTGGCCTGTCAAGGTCCAAAGTCCATTTACATCGGATCTTCAATGTGTTGGATTGGTGATATCCAAAATCACTTACATAAAGAAATTTTATATTATATGTGATTAAGATTGATATTGATAAGTTTCATAAAAGAAATAGAGATAAAAAAAAAATGAGGACTTTCGGATATATCTCTTGGTTTTGAGATATATGTAACATTTATAAGAAGTTTTTTATTTAGGTAGGTTCCTAATCTTATATATATAAGATGAAAGAGTACAGAATTTATGTGCCCTATTTGGGTCACCATATGAGAAAGATAATTTCCTTTAGAGAGAGAGGCATGGGCCTCCTAAGTCGGAAGTAGTCTCACTGTACCTTCTCTATCTTGTCTTTTAAAATTGCTCCCCTGGGATGGCCGATCTTTCTGACTAAAGGAGAATACTCCCCATAATCAAGCTGGGATGACTGTGGGTCCTCCATTTCCTTACAAGCCAAGACCAACAAGAATTCTGTCTCTTGGATATGATGTTTGAGAGTGGCCATATCACTCTCATTTTCAAGACATGCAATTTGTCTTGTGATCTAAGGCCTTTTTGAAGGAGAACGCTGAAAATCCGAATGAACATACTATCGCAAGAGCAGATCGGTTCTAAGATCTTTTAGAATCGCCTCCGCAAGATCCAACATAGATAAGGGTCTGGAAAGGAGTTTAAGTAATGGAGCAATAGATGGATTCTTTTCAATAGAGACCAGGTCTTCTATCTCCAATACCTCCCTGGCTTAGTGAACTATTGTTTCCATCTTCTTTTCAAATAGACTAGAGTACGAAACATTGAAGTCTGTGAGGTTTGTCATCAACTTCTTCACAAAGAATGGGAACATGGCTAGCTTAGAGAATGAGGCATGACCAAAAAGTTGATAGGTAGCTCTGAGAAGATCACGTCCTACCTCCATAGTGCGGATATCAGAACTATGACCATTAAGTCTCTTGACTTGATCAGGGAAAGGTAATCTCACATATGCCATAACAAGTCCTCCGTGGGTACGCCAATCAAAGGGATGGATAACTTGCCCAGAGTTAGAGGCAATGATAGGGATCAGACCTTCCCTTGGTTCCCCTTGCATTGTAGGGGCAATAATTCTCTCTACTTCTCTTTGAATTGCTAGAGGGATGATAATTGCATCCTTCGGAGTTCGATTCTTTTTATTCCGAAGGATTAAAGCCCTACTTGAGCTCCGAGTGGTCATTCTACGAGGGGATGTGACTGCAAAAGAAGCATAAAAAAAGAGGTGAGCATTGAGCAAGTCAACAATTCAATATGATAAGGGGTTTTCAAATGAAAGAAGAAGAGAAAAGCATCAGGAATTTTGCAGAATTTCGACAACATTTCCCCTATATGTAGAGGTTTGACAAAGAAGGTGTTTGGCTAGTCCAAAACACGAGGGAAATTCTAAAAAATCATAAGTCCGTGGGTCAAATGCCCATCGCGAAAAGTGACCCTGAAGAGCTCCCTTTTCTATCAAAAAAGTACCCAAGAGTGCTCAAAGATGCATAACTATGCATGAAAATGCTTAGAAATGCATGATCATGCTCAAAAGATGCATTATGATACATAACTATGCTTAACTATGCTCAAGTACATCAGAAAATGCATGAAATGCACACCTATGCTTAAAAGTGCTCAAAGGAATTTTAAGATCCATAACTATTAAGTGGAGATGCTGAAAAATGCCAAATTACGATGCAAAAATGCACTTGAAATACAAGGGGTGCGACAAAATCGTACAGAGATGTTTGGGATGCTAAATGTATTACAAAAGCATATGAGAATGTGAGAAAGTTACATGAGAATATGCTTCAAGATGGTCATGGTGTTCACAAGAATATCAGTGACATTCAAAATGCTTGAAAGAGCACATTTGAGGAGCACGCAAAATTTTTTTTTAGCAGTGCTCGATGAAGTGCATACACGGTGCTCAGACATCAAAAAGCATTGAAAAGAAGAAAGCAAGAATTACCTTGGGGGTTAGAAGAACTAGCCATAGTTCCCAAATATGAGCTCTTTGAAGATCACTTTTCACTCTAAAGGGGAAGGCCCTCTCACTCACTCTCTCTCGAAAAACAAAAGACAGGTTAAAAAAGGGGGGTGGGTGAAAAGTGCACCCCATTCCCCCCTTTTTAAACCTTGGGTGGATTCCTATGTCTCTCTCATCAAATCACCCGTCTCTTCTCTTCAAATACTCCCTAACGATCTCCCGTCCTTCTCTCTCTTTTCTTCTCTCTCTTTCATTGAAACTCACGGACCCACGCTTAAGATGGGTCCGTGGGTCTGTCGCTCCTTTTTCTTACAGTCTCTCATCTCTCACCATCAAACACATGGAGATGTTTATTATAGAGAATGGTTCCCACAAAAATTTTGGGTGGTTTTCTTGTTTAGTAAAGAGAAAGTCAGTTTCTCGTTACTCTCGCATCTCTATATGGTGTTGTCGGTAATGGTCTCTAAAAATAAAGATAATGAAAAACGATGTGATGTCGGTCGGGAGAGTGTATTTCAGTTTGTCATGTCTGTGTATGGCTCATCTGAGGTGAACCACATAAATCTCCATATTCTTGCAGTATATATATTTCATGTTTTATTTTTTGTACTTTATAAATCAACCAATCAGGTTTAGAGCTTCCGCGCGCAACACAATGTTAGAAAGTCCACTCACTTTTCGACCTTGAAGGGAGAAATGCTCTACTTTTAAACCTTCATGGTTTGAAATAAAGGTCCATACCAATGGCTTTGGACCTTGAAACTTTCAAGTTCGAAAGTGAATGCACTTAGGACCTGCTAAGATCCAAAGTAAAGGTCCATAGTTTAAAAGCACTTAAGACCTTCTAATATCCAAAGTGAAGGTCTAGAGTATATCTACTTGCTTCGGGCCTAAACCTTTGAGGTCCAAAGTCAAAGCAATTGCGACCTTCAAGGTCCAAATTGATGAGACAGACCCATGAAAGGAATTTTTCAGGACTTCGGCATAAAATGAGGGTATTTTGGAAAGGAA